AGTAGAATAAGCAGGTGTAGACAGATCATCAGGCTAGATAAGCAAGGGTAGACAGATCATCAGTAGATAGACAATAAGCAGGTAGACGGATCATCAGGCTTAGATAAGAGGTAGACGTATCCATCAGGTAGATAAGCAAGGTTAGAAAGAGGAGATTGTAATAGCGAGCAGGTAAATAGATCGGCGGCGTATATAGTCAGCAGGTCAGGTAGATAGATTAGATTTCTGTATAAACGAACCATGTTCAAGATTTTGCACAGGACTAGTTATAGTGAGCAGGTAGATTGTAAGCATGTGTAATTATCAGGTAGATAGCTCTGCATGCATGTATATAGCGAGCAGGTAGATAGATCAGCACGTAGATCAGCAGTATATAGCGAGAGCGGTAGATAAGATGCAACAGGTAGATAGATCAGGCAGGTAGATAGATCAACAAGTAAAATAGATCAGAGGTAGATGATCAGCAGTAGATAGATCAGCCGTGTATATAGATCAAAGGTAAATAGTATCAGCAGCGTAGATAGATCAACAGGTAAATAGATCAGCAGGTAGATAGATCAGCAGGTAGATAGATCAGCAGGTAGATAGATCAGCAGGTAGATAGATCAACAGTGGTAATAGATCAGCCAGGTAGACTAGAATCAGAGGTATATAGCATCGCAGGTATAGAGATTAGACGGTAGAATATGACCCTCCAACTTCGCCACTACGCCGACCGCCCACCTCTACGATGCTGCCTCACTCGCACTACGCCGACCCGCACTTAACGATGCTGCCTCACTCGCCACCCTTACGCGACCGCTTCAACGCTTACCGCGCGACGGACGCACGAAGATGATAATAATGATGCAAGCCGTCGGATTTAATCAGATGTTACGGCCGCAGCAGCAGTCGTGTTGTTCGTAGACGAGCGATTGCGACGGCGCCGGGTGAGATGGAGCGCGCAGCCTGCACGATGCGGCGATGCAGCGCCGCGCCGCGACAACCACTTCACGGTCTGTCCACAAAGTACAATTTCACCGGCATTTGGGCGCGGCGGCGGCTTAGCTCCCCTAATAGCTGTTGCTTACGTTCTTAAAGCCAACGCAAAACTCACATGTTACGAAGCAAACAATTAGTGATGTGGACGCGTGGTGCGAGCGAGCGGTTAAGGTGAGACGTCATGTTAGGCAACAACAAGTGTTTTCACGATGATAGGTGATGATTTGATGATGATGAATTGATGATGATGATGATATGATGGTGTGTCGGATGCGTAGGCAGCGCAGGCTTGCAGCAGTAACAAAGGCTGGCGATGGCCTGGATGCAGTAATGGAGAGGACGAGAGTTATCAGGCAGGCGTTCGCTAAAAGTGTTAATCGAAGTAAAGCTTAATCTTCAATTCAAATATGTCTTATATTTAAATAATGAGTCTCGATGAGTTAGAATAGAGACATAATTTACGTAGTAGTAGTTATATCAACCAGACTTAATTTAAAAAACACAGTTTTAATCAGTGGGTAGAAGCAGGAAAACAATGCGATGTGGCAATGGGAGAACGTTGTTCCATTAGGTCTGCTTCCTCTCTGCTCAATCCAGCTTAACGACCAATCTAAGAATGTCACAAAAACCTATATTACAAATGCCAATTATCATGTTTATTATTATGATGACGATATGATTATTATCAATCATCATCATCACATCATCAATCATCACTCGCCATCCTTACATTCGTCTTTTACCAATATTATTATTTTTTTTCCTCTCGCTTGCATTTTCCCCATATCTTTTAGGTTCGCATTCAAATACTCTTTAACTGCTTCATTTCATATATTGGCCGCCCCGTCACCCTATCCGTCGTAAAACCAACTGCCCTGAAGTCGCTCCCCTGCTTAGAGGAGCATATATATAAGGCAAATATATAGGCTTGCCCCATATATATACATAATATATCATAGATATTAGTATATTTATTTTAAGGGCACACTGCCGGATAAACATGTGTAGTTTATAGTCATTTTAGTTCATGGGGAACTAGTATGCATAAAATTATACATAGTGCGTTATGACAGTTTTTTATTTGGTGAGTGACCATGCAAACGTGTATGTGTCCGAGTAATTCGTTGCGCGGCTCGGGTATTTCTAAATCAATCGACTTTGGATTATCATTTGCGGATAAATATATACATGGAATTCTGTTCGCAATATTTTTCTCCGTAATGAATTTACATTTCTTGCCACACCCGTGCTATGCCTATATGGCGTTTTAGGCTGGTATTGGTATATGGCCGTTTAGCGTCGGTGTATTGTGGATGGCATTTTTAGCTGGTAAATGGTATATGCTATTACTCAGAGTATGGATGGGTATGTAGCGGCCATTACGTTTTGGCTATTACAGTCTTACAACCACGCGTATAAGATTAGAACCATCAGATTTGTAAGAACATGTTAGGCCTAAAATTCTTTCGGCCATTCTAGAACCCTTTAATAAGAACCTGTTTTAGGCTAAATTTTAAGTAGGTTCTTATTTTCCATCGCAGATGAAGACTTGAAAAAGAAAGCACAGGTAAAGATAAAAAAGACGAGCTCAAGCAATATTCGATGCAATAACAACGCCAATTCCAATGCCAATGCCACAATAACAGATGCCAGCACCCTGGCATTGTCTATGAGACACCAGTACTGCATATTTACATATACCGATCTACAAATAATTTCCGCTCCTTCTCTCAGATCCGCAGCGTTTACCATTCCCCGATAGAGGGAAGCCCCTTCCGATGTCCCCTCCGCCAGGACATTCGTCCGCTTCATGCCTGATGAGAGAGGAGACCGTGAGGTGCCTGGAAGAAGGGAAGTAAAACCTCCTCCAATGCACTCGTCAAAACATCCTCATATCTCTCTCGCGTAAGAAAAACCGAACTCTCACCCGTACGCAGACGGTCCTAGCCGACATGACAATCGAAAATTAATCGCCACGGGAGCGATGGCGTTAACTATAACCTTGCCCGTCCTTATGACAATATGAGCTAAGACATAAAAAATACATTTCTGGTTGACGATTAGATGGTAAAGACATTTTTTCGATTATTTCTTGCGGTGGTATACTTAAATCATGATAAGCCATAGCTGTCTCTCGTACTCCACCTTAAGCGATCTAACTTTGTCGGCAAATTGCACATCTCTAATGATGAAATTGACTTCCTATTTACTTTTCCTGTTCCATTAACCAATATTTTTGACGTTAATGTCGTTAACGTGTAAGCATGAATTCTGTACAGTGTATTGTATTTATTATCATCCCTCAACCATAAAAAGAACAAAAACCACTGCTAAATGTACATCCCGCCGTTACAGTTACTATACCTTGTCAGTAAAAAAATAAGGCTCAGAAATACTACCAACAAGGTGTCAACACCTCTATAAACCACTGAGATATACCTAACGCCTTCCAGCTCAGACTAATCACTTCTGTAAATCACAACGTGTTAATTGGCAAAGCTTTGCATTAGTAGGACTTTGAGCGCCTAATATCTCGGACCTCCCTGATCCGCCTAGGTTAAGCGCACCGCGAGCGCACCCGCGACGACGCTAGGCATGAGCTACTGATATAGACTTAACCATAGTTTGCCTTCATACTGCTATAGATTCCCTCAGGGCAAAAGCACGGAGAAGACCTTCGACATTTGAGTGTAGTATTATGAGGGAGTGCTTATTTGCTTACGACTGGACGATCTCGACACTTATTCTTAATAACCGTCATGAGCAAAATTAAGAGATCACGTTAGAAGTATTTTTTAAACAGGTTCCCCTCGTGTATTGATGAGAAACATTCGTTCAATAATTTTTGCCCATAAGTACCAGCACCACCAGCATTTTTATATATAAAGAAAAAATTATTTAGAGGCCTTATAAAACTCATACTATTAGTACTAGAATTATACAAACTATAAATTTATATGTTTATCTATTATTTACCTGACTCGTAGAGTTTAATATATATAGTAATAATATTACTTATTAAGCTCAATCCGTAGCATAATAAACTAATTAATGCCCTCATGAATACTGTATATGATAGAAAGCAGACACACGAACACGCACGCCGTGCCCACGACACGTCACGCACGCACACATATATAACTATATATAACAGCGCCCTTAGCCTAGGCGCGGGTTCGGGGGGTTCGAACGCAACCTCCCCCGAGCCCGTCCCCCCAAAGCGCCAAAAAATTTTTTTTAGGAAAATTTGCAGAATTTCACTCAGGTCGCGCTTCCATTTTAGTGTAATAATTGTGCAACAGATCATCCATCGTGCGTGGTGACGATGCAACTCAGTGAAATCAACCGCCACCTCTCACACCCTCACCCCCGCCTCGCAGTCGCCCGCTTGAGCCTCCAACTCGCCTGCGTCGCTTCTGCGCCCCTCGAGAGTCTGTGTCCAAGGGGGGGTTCCAGGGCAGTGCCCTCACGACGCCCCAGTAGCTCGCGCCAAGAAATCACTGCAAATCTTGCATGCGACGGTGTCAATTATTAAAATAAAATATTAAAATATGCAATAGAGAGAAGAAGTCGGCAATCTCCACAGTAAAACTCTCCCCCCCTCCTTCGCCGTTGCTCGCAACTCTAATGACGTTTACGCGTTAGATCACCGCCTGCGCTATATCACTAATCCTGTTACACGCCCCATGCCCATGCACAACAATTGCAACATTGATAAAAACGTAGAGCCCTCCCTCTCTCAATGAATAAGGCTCCTGTCGTACGGCCACGCTTGCAATGTGGGGCACCCATATAGCCCCGAATAATAATCTCACCCTAGCCTTCATGTATTACCTCATTTGTGACGAAATGATAAATAGAACATCGAATTTACCCTCTAGATTTGCTGAACGATGACCACGTACCCACCAGTATTTTGTATATGCTACGTACTTGCATGCTGTGATATACTCTTATGCTCGAGAGAGCCTATTCATAGCTAAGCACATGCCAGTCGGTCCGCTACGTGTTCCGTTCGCTCAAGTAGGAAACGCTCCCTCTCTACAATCAATGTCATCTCCCAATCAGCAACTCGCTCCCTTGTTTTCTCGCTGTGCAAGCTAAAACGGCACAATGCATGAGTGGCTTTATAGTTCGCTGTAACCAAGCGACCCCACTTGTCACCAGCGTGACCGCCTATGCTGCATGCGGGGCAATAATACAAAATAATACACCAATACCGTGTCTTACCTATATATACTGAATTCCATATCCTGTGTGCCTTCCATAATACACCATATGGCAATCGCTCCGAATAGAGAGACAACTGACACATTGGTGGTTCCATAGACCTGGATATGATAGAGTACCATAAGCATGTCTTAGTATATTGCTGAGCTGACGAAAACTGGCACCTTTACAAAGCATCCTCGTGCGTTGGCCATACCCTCGCCTCTAGTAATGCTTTCCTACGCTGCTATTCAGCGATATTGTGTGTTCTCGTTTACAGACCAGTAGTCTTTCATAGGAGTTATTTAGTGTTATGTGCCTTATATTACTACGCCAGGCCGATGCAAAATCACTGACGGCCTTCACCCGACACAAACACAGCTGTAGCTGCCAGGATACCTGCCCGCACCGAACCAGCCTGTTTCATGGCCTCCGCCAGAGCAGCCTGAGGACTGGCAGAACCATACTCGACATAGGGCCCCCGAAGAAGCAAGGTTTCCCAGACCAGCGTGAGATCCAAAGATATCCCTCTTGGGTATCATGTTCCTAGGCCCCTGAGGCCGTCCCACAGCTATTTACGAAGACTAATGGGGTGCGCGTTTTTATGTGGCATTATTTGACCCTGAAAACAGCCGAGCGTAGGTGCAATCATATTTCGGCGATTAAGCTCCTTATTTATGCTTAAGAACTGCCTCAGACTACCAGGTACCACTATCACTAAACAATTTTTGCCACCATTGCCAGGTGTAAAGCCCGGACTTGGTAATAGCACTAACCCCTTGTATCGATCCCACAGGATAATCATATGGGTTGCGAACAACAACGCGTATCTCCAGCTGTACTTGTTATGAGACACGAGTGGAGCGGAAATAAAGGGTCAGCACCGCTCGTGCCAGAAGAAAAGGCATTAATTACCAAGGTGAGGCTAGCTCGAAGAAAATAACAAGATGGGCTGTTCGTCTACCAAATTCTCCCCCATTGGACCCCAGCCGAACAAAAAACGAAGAAACTATCGTTGTCTTTATTTGTGCTTCTCCGTATTTTTATTATTGTACGATACGCACTACCGCCCAGACCTATTGTGCCCTCAGGAAGAAATCAAGGACTGATGCAATATGAATGTGTGGCGCCATGGGGTGTGTGTGCTGTGTTGTGTTGCGCGCCGTGTGTGTGTGTGGCGCGTGTTGGTGCTGTGTGTGCTGTGCGTGCGTGCGGTGCGGGCGGTGCGTGCGCCTTTAAAGGGCGTGCGGCTGAACAGTGCAAGTGCGTGTGCTCTGGCGATTTGTACTAAAAGCCTATTAAATTCAGACACATATTAACCATATCTGTAATCCTGATCTGGTGTGTGTTGTAGAAAGAGTTTCCAGATATGAGACATCAACACCTACAGCCGCACGGAGGCAGGACAGAGATAGAGTGAGCCTCCCTGATATATACGCCCAACCTATCATCCGCGTGCCTCTCTAGCAAGTCCTTGGGCTCACGCCTGGAATCGAAATCCCGCAGGCAAGTAATCTGTAAGCCATACTGTGCTACTGCTTCCATGTTACAAATGAGCATGCAGAGGCGGGCAAAACGGGCGCGTTAGTACTCCGAAGCAACTTCCATGGATGTGTAGCTGGAGAAACCAAATATAATACTGCTACCAGGCGAGGCCTGCCACACAAGGACTCGTCGTCTACAGCCTAGTCTAGGAACCTAGGTCTGAGCCGCATCTAGACCGATTAGCCCCAATCGTAATACACAATGCTATGTTGGAAGTCAAAAACGAACTGCTCAAAAATCGCAATCATCGCGTTGAATCAATTACGTTCATAGCGATCAATCAGTGTATAAATAAATAGTCTTGGCAAAAAGACATTACTAATAAATGCAGAATGCATTTATTTTGAGAGTTGTAGACACAGATTACTCATTAGCGCAGTGACGCGTAGTGATCCAAACCGCGTCGATGACCAAGCCATTTGTGCTCTATATCCCGTGAAAGTCTGTTATTCCTGTTTAGTCCCTGTTAGTTCAAACTCGACATCCAGCTTTATAACATCGATAATTGTTTTATTCGCCGCCACCCGCCGCTGGCGCGTTAAAGCTGCACCAGCCTCGCTCACGCCTCGTTGTACGTGCGCTCTCCGCATCGTATTCTGGGGCGGAGCCCTACACTGCGTCTATCAGGAGTCTCATCAGACTAGCGCATCTCCGAGGAGAGGCTAAGATAATTCTTCGATGCTTCTTTCAGAGTTAACTGAGATGACGTGGCTCACGCATCGAGAGACACGGCATTGACGGTACATTGTTAACTCACGCTTCGTATAAGAATGCTGCCGAGTCATGTTACCTATTAGTAACCACCTCGAACTCTGTTGACGCATGGGTGGAGAGAATTCATCTATAGAACCGAGACGTATTCTTCGTTGACGTGGGTATAATCCAAACGAACACCGCACAGCACCACTGTAGAAAACCGTAAACCGCCGAATGCCCCAGACGAATTATGACAGACATAGAGAAATACAGTCAAAACATGCTCCAACGGGACAACTGCATACGGGGTGCGCATTAAAACATTTACTAATTATTGTAAGTTACCAAGTCAGCCATTCAACCAGCTAGATTTCCCATTAGTAAAGAGTACACACACGCCACCACCACACACACGCCACGCACCGGCGCGCACACGCCTACGCACAGCCGCACACACGCTAAGGACACGTCGCTGTTACGCCACCCACGTTAACACGCTGCATACACGCCACGATCGACTGTAATGCAGTTATATAATTCTCTGCGGAAGTACGATGTGATTCAACTGCCAGTACCACGAGCGCCTGCTTGAGACGACGCTCTTGGCGCTATCTCGCATTTGCCCACCACCCTCTCCACACACACCGCCACGCACGCACACACACACACGCTCACGCCACACACACAAGCACACCCGTACGCACGCACAGGCTGGTCGCACGCCTTACACACCACACATACGCAAGCGAACGCCCGCCGAACAAAACCTGGGCGCCACTCGCCTGCCTAGGCCGCACACGCAACAGCACATGACGAGCGAGAGCAACGCGCGACTAGCGACCTACGCCAGGACGACACATATGTGCACACACATCAACCGACTCGTCGAAACCCGCGCCTTCGGTACCTCCGCACGGTCACACCCATCGAGCAGCCCCCGCAACGCGCCCCACGCAGCACCACTCCCGCACGTATCTCCACCCCGTGCCCTAACACGCCCCCTAACACGCGCAGACACATCGCCGCAAAAATGACACGCCACGCACGCGCAAAACACACACACACGCACTGAACTTGACACGCTCGCCCACGCACCACAGCTATACACGCATCGGCAAACTAGGCACACACACGCACAGCACACACGCACGCACACACATACCATTGAATGAGTGACCAGCGAACGCTTTGTATCAAGGAAAACATCATCACCCTTAAGATACAGTTATACATATTTATTTTCACCTCACACAAGTCCAACTTCGTACATATACAATCGCGTTTGTTGTCAGCTACCCAAATTTTATTTATACAGCGACCCATCCCGCCTTAGCAAACCTCCATCTTATCACTGTTCAAACCTTGCGCATGTGTCTGCTGAGATGCTAGCCGATAGCGGGAGAGGGCAAGCAGGTTTACACGTCGTTAATGTTGTTAAGCAACAGTCTGCCACTGTCCTTAACGCCAAACCGACAGTTCAGGATAACGGAAATGCACGCGGTGTTCGCATACGAGGTGATACTTCAATCAGGGTACAGTCTAACCTGCCTATAACGGTCAGTCGAGGGAAAAACCTCGAAGGTGGCATTTAACAGATGGGTGTTCATTCTGCGCGGGTGGTTTCCCCGTGCAACTGAATGAAAACGTAACTGAATGAAAACGTTTAGAAATGCACTTTGTAACTGGGTGTGCTTTCCACAGAGACGAGCAGCACTAACACACAGGCTCTGACTGTACGTGTTACGAACCGGGGACAAAACTCGCTCATAACTCTACTGCCATCTAATAGCAAAATCCATGTGAAAATACGTGTTAATGATGTGAGACGCAAAAGAGGCAACGAAGATTGCCGCGTAATCCTGTAAGGGTTCATTACCGCGAAATAACCTCAGCAGACTCCGATACATGTAAACACACTTCGGCCTAGATCTCATACGGTGATGCTGTCAGCCCCCATATTATCATTACGGCATATCCTGTGACCTCACTCAACGAACACACGCACAGCCACACTGTAGAACGTAAACCCGCAGCATATGCCAGACGTTTACGTCGAGTAAATGATCACGGGGATGGGGGAGAAACCCCGAAAACATGGAAATCCTGTACCGGAGAGAGATCGGACAGTTGTACGATAGTGATCGCTCATCCTGCAGCGAGCCGAATCGCTATTATCCCCTGCTTGCTAGCAGCTGCAAAAAAACATGATACGTCCACCTGGGATGTATCCGTCTCTCCCTCCCTCTCCTGCTCTCTCTCTCTCCCTCTCCCTCTCTCGCGCGCTCTCTCTCTCTCCCTATACTCGTCTGTCTGCTCTCTCTCTCTCTCTTCTCTAACACACACACAACACACGTCTCCTCCCCCCTCTCTCTTCTTGCTCTCTCTCTCCTCGCTCTCGGTCTCTCTCTCCTGCGTCTCTCTTCTCTCTCCTCACACACACTACTACAGCCCCCGCGACACGCTGCGCCGCGCCGCTCGCTCTGCTGCTCTCGGCTCGCTCTCTCTCCTCGTCTTCTCTCTTCTCTCCCCCCCTCTCTCTCTCCTCCCCCTCTCTCTCGTTTTTCTCTCCATCCCTCTCTCTCTCCCCACCCATCTCTATCGCACTCTCTAGGGAAACTCGCAGATGCCCACTTACAAAACTGCTCATCTACGACGATGATTTACGACGCCAAGATATTTTGCCTCCATTCCACGCAGGGGCCTGCAGAACAAGCAAGATGAGATTATCAGCAAGGCTTGATCGTGCGCGTACACAGCACGCAGCGTGCGTGCGGCGTGCGTGCGTGCGTGGCGTGGCGTGCGTGCGTGCGTGTCAGTTGCAAGAGTCAAGTTTAACGAGGAAATCGGAGAAACCTACTCATTAACGGATGGATTTCAAACGACGACATCAGCATTCCCGTTCGACAAATCCGAGGAAGCAATTAATAACGTGTGGATCTGACAAAGTGGCTTCGTTATGCTTACCAGCCGTCCTCATATCATTATCTCATCATTAGTCTTCCGACCAGAAGGTGCGTGATCAAGGGTTATGGCGCCAACTAACTATACTATGCCTACATGTCAGGAACAGTTGTAATTGCACGTGGATAACAACAATTGTATCGTTCATTTATAAGAGTGACAAATGCCAGCGATTTACATTAAATCACGAATTTTCCTGATACAAAATTATAAACGTGATTTATTTACAAGGCTACGAACCGATCTGAATATAATCACTACACCTGTCATTCACCTAGTAAATTCTAAAGCAAAGACACGTGCACTGCTTATACCTGAGAAGAAAGATGTCAGCGTGCATCTTCAAGTGTTTAAACAATTCGTATAAATATATTTTAATCTAGTCAACTAATGCAAAATATTGGCCACATTAAAATCACACTTCGAAGTCGTCGGTCACCGCGTACCAATGACTCACGCGCAGAGGGCTGTGCTACTGCCATAGAGTCAGCGTTCTCACATTCACGCTAAACACGGCAAACATACAGCATATCAATAAGATGGCCAAGATGCTACACCAATGATAGACTAGGCCTATCCAGCTATCCATCTAATAATGAATTTCCAAGAAGCTCTGACCAGCCATTATGACCAGTCATTGATTGCGTCAGTCACTGCGATACGAGGTTCGTCTAAGAGACAATGTGCTAGCAAGCCAACAAATGACGTGCGCGTAAAATAAACGACGTAATCTAGGCAGCAACATCCTAACCAAAAAAAGGCATGCATAGGTCAGTTAGCAAGATAGAGTAATCATTTCCAGAGTTTATGGTGTTCACCCTTTTGTCTTTTCGATGATTTCTTGGCCAGGTCTTCTCCGGCTGCGTGACGGAACGGGTTGGGCGCGAGTCGACTGCCATCTGACTCGTCATATTGCCTGCGCGCTGCGACTGAGCGTCTTCTTGATATTCGCCACCTACTGGTGATACACAGCAGTGACACACTGCTGACAGCTTCAGCACATCATAAACAGCCGACAGCTTTAAGTGAAGAGGCGAGCACTTTTAACGGTATCACTGCGCTGCCGTTAACTTAAGCATTGCAGGATGTAGAATCACACTACAATGATAAACGTCAAATATCTTTATGTAACAGTATGTAGGCAAAACAAAATATAGATGTGGTTACGGTTTCCCGACCGACCGCCTATTATTCCCAGCGACCCCCTAGAAACATTTG